ACATTACCATTCAACCTTGGTTTTTATTTATGGCATCAGATGGTAATTGTGATATTAAATCAATGATTATGTATGTAAAAAAGATTTATCTCATAAGTTAAACACTTATATAGAAAAATCTAGAAGAAAAAAATAATAATTTCAGCATTTCGGATTTCTATACTATCTTAGAATGATTACTACAGAAAAAAGTGAGCCAAAGATTTATTTAAATTAAAGATCTCAGTGACACTAAAATCTAAAAAACCTTTTTGTTTTAATCGTTTTTCAATAAAAAATCCTATCCTTAGAAAATTTGAACTCTAAACAATCCTGTATTGCAACCTGACATCAGTCATGTTCTCACATAAAATACCAATCTTTCATAAATATACACTAAATTAGTCGAAAAAATTTTGTTCATACTTGATAGACTTTGTTTAGTTGTCTTTTTCTTTTCTTGTTATTCTTTATAACTTTAATTTCATTGGTTGACAAATACCCTTACTGTTGTAAAATTTCTTACATATCTCTAAGACTAACAAGTTAATATGATTGACTTTTGGAAACTAGTTACAAACAATTAAAGAATTTTTAAATATGTAAACAAATTAATGATGTCGCTTTTTATTTTACTCATGATCTTGGTAGAAGATAATTACAACTGATATTGTTTCTATGATCTTGACATGTGAGAATCTTTGAACAGATCTTGCAACGATCTTAGGTACAGATTTATCTGATACGATTAAGATATACACAAACGAATTCTCTTTTCAAGATCTCGATAAGATCTTGCTTACAAGATGTTTATCTAGGGATACATATGGGTTCACTCGATCAAGCATATTGTACCTTGTGGAATGTTGGCGTCTATTGGGTTTGCTGATCACATATCGGCAAAGTTCTACTCTATTAGAATGAAAGTATCTACTGGGTTGGACAAATAGAAAAATCATAAATTGTAGTTTTCTGAAGAACAAAAAAATAATTCTTTGGCTTATATTAAATCCGCAACCATAAAATTTCATCGTTCGACCTATTATTGAAATCGTATCGGATGGTGGTCAGTGATTGGTAAACTTTATACAAGAGATCGACGCAAATATTTGTTTGATGTGCTCAAAACTTAAAGTGTATTGACTCAAAGGTTTTTCGAGAATAATAGTAGCGAGAGGTGCCATGGCTCGTCTACATGATGTTTCATTTGCAGATTAATTGATCATTTTGACTTGATGCTTTTGAAATGATCCCGATTCACCCTATTTTAAATTGTCTAAATTAAAAATTTCTACTATCTTTCAAAGACGATTCACATCAAGATCTTAGCACTGGAAGGATATATCATAAGATGAATATCCTCGATGGTGAAAATTGTGAGTAACGGTCGTACGTCTATTATCAGAGGTACCTCAATGATAAGCTACAATTAGATTAGGTTCATATTCATAGATCATCATAAAAATTTTGTTCGCCGTTTAGTCAAAATTGATGAGAGTCCCCCCTAGGTGAGCAAAGGACAGATAAAAAGACTAGTCATATTTCTAGTGGTCTAAGTACGTCCTGTCTAGCCTTTTTCTCAAAGAGGTCTAGTACATGACTAGTCTGAAATCAATTACAGCCCATAGCCCACGTTCTGACCGCTTGACTCGTGGCCGTCATCATATCTGTTGTGTCTAGCCTTTTTGAGAAAAAGACTAGACGTGTTATACTGAGCTTGATGCCCATCAAAAGACACGATTCTAAATAAAAGAAGTAATAGCATTCATAACTCTGCACGCGATCAGTTGTGGTCTTATGTAGCGATCGAGTCTGGACTAGTCTAAATTGAAATATGTAAAGATGACGGTTAGATTCGAGTATACATACGATATATGACTTATCCATCATTCAGACCATTTAGCCATACGATCAAGAGATTAATTTCTAGATGTTCATAATCATTCTACGATGTTATTTGATACAGTTTTACTCGAAGTTTCCTTCAATTTTTCATATGAATAAAATTTTTCTTTAAAGAAATGCAAAATTATTTAGACAATACTGAACAAAAAGAAATTCAAAAAATTTTTATTTTTTTTATTTTTGGAGGTGTGTCTTCTGGTTATAATCAATTAAAAGTAAGTAGAATTATGCTGAAAAAAAAATTTAAGTACAAAAATAAATTAAAAATTATCTAAGCTGAAAAAAACCAAATAGTTTTGATATCATGATTTAAATTAACCTTAAATTTCAAGTGTGAATTTTAAATATATAGCTAAATAAAATTTGTGCTATTTAAATCATCAGAATTCATATTTTAAATAAAGTAAAATATAATTATGATTCAGAAATATTTAAATTATCCTTAAATTAAATATTTTCAATTTAGTTTATACATTTAATAAATTTTAAAATATATCCATTTGCACGTCGTGCTAAGAAATAAATATTGTATATTTTACTTTCTCATACTTTTTAATGCTTCGATATATTTTTGCATTTGTTTTACATGTGAAAATGCAAAATATGATGAGCCACTCAAATTAGAAACGAAATCGATAACATCAATTATTTCAAGCAAATAATAGAAATATCGAATAATTATTCACGTTATATTCTACTTCTTTGTCTTTCTATTACTAATCAGTCAAAAACGAATTAGCAGAATAGCTTAGTCGAAACAAAACGCGTTGTTTGTAGTATTTAGACTATTCTGGACTAGGTTGACAGTACATTCTCAAAAGAATGGACTAGTCGTCCTGGTCTGGTCCAGACCTTGTTGCACGACATTTCTTGCCAAAGTAATTAGTTATGTCATGTATAGAAGACGTTGTAGACTAGGTCTGGCGGGTATTGTGGACATTTCTGACTAGCCATGTCACCCATCTTCACACAGGTTTTGTTTACTTAGGCCAGCAGAGTCTGTGAAGATCAACAATACATTTTAAAATTTTCCCATGTAATGAGAAAGAATTAGTCACGAATCAATCCATATTAATTAAATGGATCTTGACAAAAACGTTGATATTATGAAATAGGCTGAATAACCTCATCACTCATGTGAATCATGTAACCGCTACTTGTCGCCAATGTTTGCTAAGTAAAGAAGTTTTGAGGATTGGAAAATTTCTTCGAATCAGTTCGATCATGTGACACACATTTAAATAGAACATGATCGCTATTGTACTCAGCAGAATATGTATCTTTATGACTCAGCATGAGCATTGTTTTATCTTCGTTTTTTCTTGCAGAATCAATGGATCATTTGGTTTACATCAAGCAGGAATACAAGGGCTGCCCGAATATCCTTCGAATTATTGTATTGACTACATCAAAGCAGATTCCATCTATATTTGTGACGTCGAGAAAACACAGAGCGCTAGCGAATAACTATCGGCAGGTACCTCTTCTTTGTTAGAATCGGAATAGACCATTCCCTAGCTGAATTTCTGACTGGCATACAAGTTGGACCCATCGAATTCGTGCAGAGAAATCGAGAACGAAGCGAATTGATGAAAATGTAAACAAAATGAATTAGAATAGAGTCGAGAATTACTCCAATATTATTCTGATGTCAATGCTCTACGAAATATTTCAGATTATTATATATGTCATTGTCACGATGTGGAGCAAAATGATTGGCTACTTGATATTGCTAGTTCAGGAGTTAATTAACAATAAAATCAATGGATGATAGATATCACTTTTCAGGTTATCGGTTCAAGTTCATCAATTGGCAATGGTGATCATCATGGATTGGCTTACGCTTGTTGTTGCATTTACCATTGATCGTCCAGCTGATA